TTTATTTCAATTATGATTGGGTATATCAGAATTATTAGAAATATAAAATGCATAATCAATATATTAATCTTGAAAATGAGTTTTATTATTTATATTCTCTCTAATCTATATCTAATATCAATAAATTTTCTCTATCATGAGTGATATCGAATCGAAAATTTCATTTCTTTATAAATTCGGCTTATATTCTAATCATTTTTTGAGAAATCTAATAATAATTATAATTTTCAGCAATTCATAATTTTCAAATATTATAAAATATCTCAAATATTTTACGAATTCTTAATTAAGCTCGGAATCTTCGATTCTAATTTCGATCCATAATTTAATTATTAAATTATTTTTTAATAATGAAATAATTCTGCAAAGCAATCGAATATCCAGGCAAATAAATAAATATTCAGATATATTATAAATGGATGATTATTTAAGTAAGCAGATAAATACCCCTCCGGCAAAATCTATATTCATAGATTTCATATTATTTCATGCTTATTTATTTATATTTATATACTTTAATTATAGATACGAATATATCTATAAGTATCGATTTTATCATTATTTATTTTCGAAAATATATAGTCGTATTATTCTATATCTTATTTTCATAACCCGATAATTCTGCAGCCGAATTTCGATCGCCCAAAATTCTATTTTTTATATCTAGAAAATCGAAATCACCGGAAGATATTGAATTTCATGATTTGGAAAAATCTAAAACCTCGCATAATTTTTTTTGATTCTAAACGAATTGCAACTATATATTATATATTTCTTCATAGGTATTTCATTTCTAAAAGCTATCATTCAATTAAAGGCTTCTCGAATCTTGGACTCTTGCTGCTTCTCTATTTTTAAATTTCATATCTATAGGAAATTATATAGCTAAAAAGAAATCTATAAAAATTCGATTTTATATATAGAAAGTATCGTATATAAGGGATCTTTTTTTAATATATTCTATAGGATATTCGAGATAGTATTCTATAAAATATATATAAGGAATATCAGAAAATGGAATTAATGAAGTATTCTATAATATAATCGAAAAATTAGTCAAAAAATTATTCTAAAGAATTATAATATGAATTTCAGAAGCTATAAATTGGGAGAAATTTGAAAGATTCTTATTTTTCCCTTGTTTGAAAAATTGGGATTTATTCAATATATTCCTTATTCTGAAGTTCTAAATTCCTCATTCAGTAAGCTATAATATCTGAAATCTTGGATTCTCATTAAATAAGTGTAGAAATTCATATTTCTATAAAATATTTTCTATATTTTCAAGGAAGATTCTATAAGCTTGCAGGAGGCAGAACCACGTAGCATCATTGATAAGCTTTCGGGCAAAATAACTAACTAATAGAGATAGCACTATCTGCACACAGCACCTTTTCGATGCAAATACACCAGCATGGCCATTTGAGTGAACAGAAAAAGATATTGCCGCGGATAAGAAGCCACCCTTATTCTTTTCTTTATTTGTAATTTTGTTGCACTTGAGAAAAGATATTTTACACAGTGCAGATTTCTTTTCGCAAGACCAGTCTTTCTAAATCTTCATTCCGCATACCTTCAAAGACTATAAAAATACCAATGATAAATATGCTTCAAGGGACCAGAGTTTTGTGCATAATTCAGGCTGGGCGGAGAATTCTCGTGGCTTTTATAGCCTGGAGCTTGCCATTCTGCATCCGGTCCAATATAAAACTTCTGCGGGTTGTCGTAGTACAATAAAATTCATTCTAATGGTGATGAGAAGGTTATGAATCCCCTCCATATCGTTGCTTGGCCGGAAATGGCCACGTTCACAGATCTGCATACAGGAGCATCTAAGCGTTCTGTTCCTGAAGACAAGTTCGACCTGCTCCAATATAGTGTCAAACTATTGCACTTTTCCATTTATCTATCAGAGGACTTTGTCCTTATTATATTTCGGTAGCTGGATTTTCTGTTTCTTACGAAAGCCTTATTTGATCCAAAACGGACGCCTTATAAATTTCCATATAAAAGTCAATCCAATCGTATTGAGATAAATATGTGATATAATACTCGATCTCTTTCGTTTTCAATGGGGATTCGCAAACTTATCATCTTGAGTACTGCATACGATCCGGACCTCGGGCTCCGGACATGAAAATGAATAAAAAAAGAACGATCACGTACCGAACTTCGGGCCACTTACCCAAAACCTAGAAACAAAATGTTCTCCATAAAGGGCCTGGTCGAGCGGGCTAAAATTTTCAAGGATCCATTGTAAAAGAGGCTCCCCCCCCCCACCCACTTACTGAACCAAATATTTCAAATATGACTCAATGATATGATATGCAGAGTGAAATACATAGTTAGGAAAAAGTGAGTCCTCAAATTTATTTTGTCAAATGAAATTCCATATACTATTCATTCCAGTATTCGTCTTATTTGATCAAAAACGGACGCCTTATAAATTTCTATATAAATCTCAATCCAATCGTATTGAGATAAATATGGGATGCAATATTCGGTCTCCTTCGTTTTCAACGGGGATTCGCAAAGTTGTCGTCTTGAGTACTGCATGCGACCCGCCCCACTAGAGGCATGCAGCACAGACCTCCTTGTGAACATCTTCGATGCTCACTTGCACGCGACTTGACTTGAAGTGCACTTGAGCTCCTCGCCTCGAGAAAGGCAATCCGAAGGATTTGAACTTGATGGTATTCGCTCGTACCATACCAGACAATCCAAACTTTCTTCGACGTCACAAGCACAAGTAATCACCTGATGGCCATAGACGCTGGCCGACTTGCACCGCACGAAAGCACCGTGGACGCCTTCATTATCAGTGAAAACTACGATGTTGGCACCCTTTAAGAAAGAAGCGAAACTACGCAATGCAAGTAGCACTGCTATCGCCTCCAACTCGAAAATGACAGTCTCGTGAGCCGTCCCTCCGTATGTGCAGATGGCATCAAGAACGTGCTTAGGAACTTCACTGCCAAACCAACCGAGGATGTTGCCTGACGAGTCATACGCCATGCCACCGATCCCAGAGTAGCCATCGTAGTCAAACGAAGCGTCCACGTACACGTGGACCACTGAACTCCACGTAGCAGCGACCCGGCGTGGCCGCCCATGCTCAAACAGGTTAAGAAGCACCTGCATCGATTGCCGCATCTGCTTCGGGCTCGTCCTGGGCTCCTCAGTGAGAGCGCCCAGCGCATGCCGCGCTCGTCTCCCGAACAACTGCCCTGAAGCGAACTGAAGCCTGCCGCGAAGCTTTGCAAGCTCGGCACCTTTGGGCAACGACGCGGCACCTGTCACGTATTCCTTCAAGACAACCCGCAGCTCGGCAGCACGTTTCTCTGTGTTCGAAAAGTATGCTACACCAAACTTGGCTTCACGAAGATTAAGCGTCACCCCAAGCACATTGCACATGCTGTCAACGCCCAGCTGCTTGTCCAAAGACACGTTCCATCCAAAGAGTCGGAAAACCATTGTAACGATTATGTCCAGGTGCTTGCTTGCATCTTCCCAACTGCTTGTGAGGAAATCGTCAAAGTAGCAGCTCCAGATCAAGGCGAGAAGGACACATCCGATCTTCCACAAACCATATGCACAACGGATGAATCCCGTCACGCTTGCCTTCGATCCAAAAGGTAGGACTCGTTGCTTGTACACCTGTGGCTTCTTGCTCCGTGGACAGAACACGGCTATGTAGCTGTCAAGTTCAAAAGCAGAATCACTCAACGGCAGCTGCTTGTAAGCAGTCTTAAGATCCCAAGCTTTGCTGACCATCTCCTTCTTCACTTTTGCCTTGACACAAGCCTGAAGCCAATAGCCCAAAGTTCCAGCGATGACATCGACCGTGTGAACAGGCACCTGTTCGGTTTGTGATACCACGCTGTTCACCTCCGAACTTTTATAATTGTCTATTGGTCTCACCTTGGGATTCCCGGCAGAGTCAAGGCCTTGGATGACACCGAAGCGATGCGTCAGCGTCGCACCCGGTGGTAACTGCTCCGGATCCACCGGCCCTTCCAAGTAACCAAGGTCGAGCTCCTTCTGCGTGGCTGCAAAGACACCCTCATCGATGACAGGATCACCAGAACTTTGGACCATTGCAAGAACAGCCGCCCGAGACCTTGGCGCCCCAGCTCGCAGCTCTTCTTCAGTCTTAAGTGCAGGACGATACCGGTGGTCGAACACATGTGACTCAGGAAGCTTGCCCACCAGATCAAAGCCAGTGCTCATGTCGTGCACCAGGTTCGTGTCTGCATGACCGGCCTCCTCGAGAATGGACTTGAAAAGTAACAACCGCTTGCCTTCAAGGACTTTACGTCGATGCTCCGAAAAGCCTTCGTGAAATTCACGTTCGGCATCGACAAGGCCATTGGACATGCTGACGAACCGCCTCATCGTTGCAGTGCGCTCACGCGCGATGTCAGCAGCATCCTTGCTCATGTTTGCCTTGATCGATGCCTTGAGTTCATCCGGGAGCAAGTTGTCCAAGTGGCAGGGATGCTTCGCACGAAGCGCTTGATTCACGAAGTCCTGAGGTTCATGATAAACCCCGAAGACAACCTTAGATGTGTTTCCGCATCTCGAAGACAGCACCTCAGAAGTGTTCGCACTTGTTGCATCCCCAGGGGACCTAAGGGGGGCAGGGATCCTAAACCCCAACCCTAGCAGGTATGCTCGGTCAGCTGCAGACAGCCACTCCATGTTCCGAGGCAAATATGCAATCAGGGCATGTCGATGCCCTGTCCAACTCTGTGTCTCATGCCACTTCCGGGGATCGAAGAAAACTGGGCCTGCACTCGGATCAAGAATTTTGCCACGGACGTCTCGCCCATTAATGTTCTTACAGACATCGCCCGAAGCATCCTCAACCCAAACACCACCCCCTCCCCCGACACATGGCTTCAACAACACAACCATGTTCCACGACGAGGCCTCGTTGTGGCTGTCCTTGTGAACAGCTGTGAAGACATCACGATTGTAAGTGGCCGCACCGAATTCAAGAGACGGCGCGATCTTTCGCACAAACGCACACATCTGCTCAACGACTTGGGGATGAAGCTTTGTGGCCTGCAAGACTCCGGCGAAGCTGCCATGCACAAAAGCTCCACCGGTCACACATACTGATGACGAGCAAGTCTCACCGCGGCTGGGGCTCGTTCCTTTGGTTTTAGATAAGCACTCAAGAAGAGACTCAGCTGAAACCTCAACAACGGAATCGCACTCGGCACCACCCCGCGCAAAATGAGTGCGAATGACTTTGCTTCCAGCAGGGACACTGGACACCTCAGGCTTTGCAGAACATGACGATGGCACAGACCACGGTGCCTGCAACTTCGACTTGGACAAGGACAAGCTGGCCAAGACCTCGCATGGACCTTGCACGGAGACGACCTGACGAAACTCGGGCACCAAAGGTGGGACACGTTTCTTCAATTGGTGACCGGTCAAGCTCCGAGCGCCCACAACAGAGGGGGCCGCATCACGAAGCTTACATGGTTCCGGGACTGCTCCAAAATGACACATGAAATCATGAAGCAAATCAGCCAGGTTTCGCCTAAGGGGCCAAGCTTCGTTCACATTTTCTGGTTGCGCATGCGAATGCCAAGGCTCATGAGCATGCTTGTTGTCACATCGACTTTCAAGAAAGTCAAACGGCACGACATTGGACATCAAGACAAGGGACTGCTTGCGGCATCCTCCATGCATGCATAAATCAAACTCAACTTGGCGAAGCGATGCAGAGGCCGCGGCTTGAACCCAGGTGGGGCGCTTCCAAAATGGGCTCCGCACTGGCTTCAAGATACTGAAGAGAATTCCCGTTGAATCACATAACTTGCAAATTCGGCTTATGAAAAGGACCAGCTGCTCCACAGCTGGAGAGGCTGAACGATCAGCGAAAAACATCTTGTGTGGAGGAGTCTCATGAACATAGACGACCATGGCCTCCTGAAGAATACTCCACACGATCCACACGTGACTTTGACCCGTCTCGGAAGTCAAGTCCAAACGAATAGTCGGGCAGCCAGCATTAGACGACTTGCCCTGTACACCAAAGGAATCTTTCGCGCCAAGCCGGCGCAAGCCCGAAATGATGAAGCCTCGATTGCAGAAAAGCTCCAGACCGAAAAGATGCCTAACGGGTTTGCCCTCAACTCTCAGCCTGAAGCGCTGCAAAAAGTGTCGAGGGCTCGGGGCCCTCGACGGCGACCGTCACGACTGGTGATCCTGAAGAGAGTGTGCCTTGAGGCAGTTGGGTTCCGCGCAAAGGTGCCAACCGCGCTCACACTTTTCACCTGGTTTTGCTTTGTCACATCCTCCTGGGAGATTAAACGCCCAGCACAGCCGCTCGCCTTCTCGTGTTTGGTACCATTTACCAATCAACAACTTGGGCACTCGCAACTTGTCATTCTTGCCTTTGCCTCCACCTTTGTTCCCACCTCCTTTGGAGCCTTGACGGCCCTTGCCAGGATTTCCCTGGTCTGCACCCTCATGCTGCCGCTTTGTTCCCCTGTTGTCAAGAACATTCCAAGTTGGCTTAGGGGGCTTCTCAACCTCAGGCAGCGCAAGCGGAAGAAGATGAAAAGATACAGCTGGGTCTGACAACACGTGAGGCAGTGCAGCATCTAACGGAATGGATCCGTCCGCCTGGCGCTTGATCGTCCTAAGCTGTTCCGCCAAGTGGAAAAATGCAGCAGGATCAGTTCTTAAGACCTGGTGCACAGACACTTTGGCGTACTTAGGTGGTGGCATGTCCTGCATGCGTTGCACAAGGGCCCCATGATATCTATTCATAGTATCGTAGGTGCAAACACCCACCAGATCAAAGGCCAGTGCCCGGCGGCGTAGAGCCTGAACCAGTTCAAGCTCCCCCGATGTTGGACAAGTCAAAGAAGTCTGCTTCTCCTTGATGTTCAGAGCACCGCTCCCGTCAAGCACAACCTGTTTGTTGGGCTTCTGTGACGAAAGCTCCTGTCGTCTTGTCGTAAATTTCTCCGGATGTATGTAATCAAGCGCATCCCTCTGTAACATCGCGTAGACGAGGTTGTATGACTCGTAGGAAGGCTCTTCAACTCCAGAGTGCATCAATCCGGTAATCTGCGCCTTCTGTCGAGCCATTCTGCTCTCACGTTCAGCGTGACTCATGCTACCAACCGAAGCATCTTCTCCTTTCTCGACCCGGCCTTTCAAACCGGCAACGAGCAGAGTATGAGCCTCGAAGATCAACCTCCTCGTAGAAGCGACTGTGCCTGCAGTTGTTGCGGCTCCCCCGAAGAGGGCTTGGACTTGGGCGTCACTGGGGTTCTGTCCTGGCCCAACTGCGGCAAATGCTACGCGAGCCAGCGTGTCAATGCCTCGCCCTGTCAAGGTAGCGCCCGGGCCGAGAAAGCCGCCCTGGACTCTGTAAGCGAAGCCATCGCACCAGGTTGGACTTAGAATCTTCGGCCACCTGCCGACTACCAGCACTTTGCCACAGCCTCCGGCCACCTGCCGCTGCGGTCTTTCTTTTGTCCGACTGTTGAAATCCAGAACAAGCATCACATAACTTAGAATAACAAATCCAAAGATGTTCCATCTAACTACAGAAGTCAACCCTAATACAAGGGGTTTTGGGGCTGGGAAACTTAGAGGAGTTTAGCGGCCCGTGCATAAAGGTTTTACAACAGGATTGGAGCCCGATTCTTGCGAGTCAAACACCGTAAACGAACTTTCGAGGAAGGAAACTGTGTTCATGTTTTTCAATCCGACTTCGCTTTTGCATCATGTCGATCGACGAAACGGTCTTGATTTTGTATCTTTCGATCGTTGTTTTGCATTTGGGTTCTCGGGCCAACATACCCCGCTTGATATTTTTAGTCAGCATAAAGCTACACGTTGTACATATATGCATGCAAATGCAAAAACCTCAAAGCCAACAAACCAGCAAACGAAAAACAACGAACGACCATACAAACCTCGCAACTTTTTTTTCTCTCGATGTCGTTGACTCATGCAAATCGAGCATGAAGGAAGCATCGTGGAATATCTTGGAGCATCATGCAGCATCCTGCAGCCTAATCCATCAGCCAGCATCATGAAGCACCAGGGAGAATCATGTTTGCTCAAGACCCATGTGAGACCCGTGTGTTGTGAGCACACAACCTCACTTTAACCCCAAACTCCCTTTTAACCCCGTCTGTAGGCCAGCAAGTGACGCCAAGGACGTTCACGACAAGGGTAACAACGACACCTCGTCGTTCGGGTCGCAGAAGAGTTTGACTTTCACAGTGGCTTGGCTTCGCTCCGTTCTTCGTCGACCAAACACTCGGCTTCGATGGACATCGACCGCCAATATGTTCGTCGATGCCGGCACGAAGGAGATGGACTTGAGCCATCTCCGTTCCATCCTCGGTGCGGGGAAATGGTCGGTAACCTACAGCCCGGCCTTCGTGAAGCAGGTGGTGAAGGCCAAGCAGACGAAGGTGACTCCGCGAGCCAGCCTTCCCTTGCTTGGGACTGGGGTGGACGGCAACGACCCTGTGCTGGGCTACCTCACCAAGCTGGGGGAGCAAAAAGGTTGGCACCACCTGGACCAGATGGGTGTCAACGTGGCCTTCGGCGCTCGCAGCTTCCGAACCCCTGAGCCGCGCTTCAGTTCACAGCAGTACCCGTGCCGCACGACTTTCGGCCGAGTGGAACAACCGCCAGGCTGCTACCAGTGGCGGCGTCTTTCGACTGACGAAGCCTACACGGCTCTACCGAACCAGCGCAGTCTTTTCTCTGAGAGATTTGGCTTGTTGGTAACCTTCTTCAAGAAGCAGCCTGGATGAGCTTCGATGCTTGAGCCCTAACCCTAGTTCCGCAGCAACATAAAATATAGGGGATGTAGAAATCAGGCTGTTGCATCGAAGCTTATGTGTGCCGCTGTTGCATGACCTCTCAAAAGGCCTTCAGCCTTACTTCGTGCCACGCGCGTGGAAAAGGGACGCCGTTGAGTGCACCTCCTCTTTTGGTTGCTGGCACTGCGGGTTTCTACAACTCTTGAACCGTGCCTGCTTAAAGAGAAAGGCGCTCTCAGCTTGGCCACTGCAAGGCTTGCTTTGACGGATTTTATACAGATTATCTCTTTACGTCTCACTCCGCCATCAAGGCCGTGCAAGGATCTCGCTTGCCGCAAAGGTTAACATGATGCCTGCCTTGCAGCGCGACATCGGTGGACCGGCAAAAGAAGGCACCATGTTGTGGGTAATTTGATATGCTGAAAGCACGGTATTAACTTCGCTTCGTGTTGCATTCAACACCGGGAAACTTGCTCTGGCTAGACATGTAATGATTGACAGAATGATAGCTGCTTCTTGTCTCTGGCCGTGGTTCATGGCCGATCTTGGTAAGTCGAGTGTTTTGCCTGGTTACGTTTGTGGTGTTTTGCCACGATCGCGCAAGTCGTTGAAAAAACATTATCGCAGTTGTCGCAGCATTTCCACGATGTGTAGTGTAGTCTTGGTTGTGATGCGCACGCTCCCCTCACAAGCAGTGCCACGACACAACCGGGACATTTCACATGACAGGGGCACGACCACTAGACACGACCGGAACACTGACCGAAAAACGACCGATACACCGACCGGGACACTGACCAAGATGCCACCGGAACACTGACCGAAACACGACT